CTGCATCCCTGTGATCCTCCATGGGCTGCAGCTGCTTCACCATGGTCTGCAGCACAGGCCACAGGGGCATCTCAGCTGCAGCACCTGCTGGAGCACCTCCTGTCCCTCCTTCTGCACTGACCTTGGTGTCTGCACAGTTGTTCCTCTCACATGTTCTCTCTCTGCTCTTCTCTGGCCACAATTACATCTGCAATTTCCTTTTTTTCCTTCTTAATTATGTTACCCTGTTACTGTCATCTCTGATTGGCCCAGCCTGGGTCAGTGGTCTTGTAGGTGCCAGGGATTGGCTCTGCTGGACATGGAAGAAGCTTCTGGCATCTTCTCACAGAAGCCCCTCTTGTAGGCCCTCCTACTACCAAAGCCAGGCCACTCAAACCCAGTACAGTAATCTATCAGAATACTAATTAATTATATAAGGTTATTTTCTTTCCAAAGATTGGCTTCTTTTTCATAACTGTGTGTTTTGTAATCATATGGCCATACCCGTGATTTGAAAGTATCTTTTCTCATTAGTTGTCCACACATCTGTTAAGTCAATGACAATTTGTATGCATATATATACACTACTACATTTGCAATTAACGTGTATATTCCACCTATTTATGAAATACAGTGATACAGTAATTTCATGCTTATTCAGATGTCTGTTTTAATTCTAGTCTACTATGTGACTAGACTGGAATGTATGTGAATTCGAAAGTAAATCAAAATTATGAAATTGTAAGAATTGATCATGAATATCTTCTTTTATATCTTTATGATATCTACAGTAGTTAATGCTTCTGTGGAGATGAGTCTTTGTCAGTCAGATAGGTAATATATTGCTACTGCCTCTCCATCGTTCCTCTGATTCTTTGTATTATTAGCTGTTCCTGAATGGTCTGGGAGAAATATTCAAGAGTGCATAATTACAGTCCAGCTGGGAATTGCATCTGTGGTGAATTCTTTATGCACAATACTGTACAAAGGAAGTAAGTAGGAGACTTGGAGAAGTACTCTACATATTCTTAGCAATAAAGCTGTACCATTCTTTATTGCAGTTTTCTCCTGGTGGTTGTTTTCTCTTTTTTGAGATACAGTTGACCACTTGAATGAAAAAATATAGATTTTTTTCCTTAATTTTAACATTCTGTCTTTAAAATAAAGTGGGAATATCAAGCTGCTGAAAACTGAAAGTAACCTTTTTCTTTTGTGCTGCGTCTTATGTTTTGTGTTCACAAAATTGAACCACAGAATTGAAGGTTTAAATACTGACTTTAAGAATCACTTCTTTGTTTTTCCGATTCAGTTAGTCTTTGCAGAGAGAAGGGGAAAGATAACCAGTGGTGAGTAGTTATGGGCCTGCTGAGCAATAGCCAGACTTTTCTAAAAAGCAGTCAGATCTCCAGAACTGCCAGTTCTTGATGTGTTTAGTGCTTTAACGATTAATATTTTCTTCCTTTTTTTTTCATTATCTTTTCTGGTTAATATATCCTCTTTTAAGAGTTTGTGGGTGGATGCACTCTTCTGGTTTGGTAATTAGTAAAATTATTAGCTAGTCTTTTGTTGGGGCTGAGAAAAAATGTTTTAACTATTGTGAAGTGTTCTAGGTAAAGTTTATTTACCTTTTCCAGTCTGTATTGTTACGGGTATCATTTAAATAAAAAGGAAATGTCTGATAAGATTCAAGTCCAAAGTTACATATTAAGCAAAAGTTTCCTGTTAGCACAGAAGACTGGGATGATTCTAGCTGTTTCCAAATGTTTACCAATTAAAGTGTAAAAAAATCGTTGCTCAAAAGTTCTCTAAAAAGTAATTTCCTTATTGTTCCTCTTAAAAATCAAAGGAAGTTGCAGTCATGACACATGTATTGTTTGAGATTTTCTAGAAGGTTACACCGCAATGACTGAAGCTGACATACAGCCTCTGTCTTCAAAAGGGTATTAAATGCCTCTTCCTAAATAAAAATACAGCCTCATGTCCATTATCAGTAATTTGCTGCGAGTCCAAACTTGATATAGTCTACATACACTTTGTTAATAATTTCGGTATGTTTTATTTTATAAAAGGAAACCTGATGTCAATTTCCTCAGTTTATCAATGAGATTAGAATTCACTATCACCTTAGCAGATAGATACCTATTTTTATCAGGCATCCTAATATCAAAGGATAAAATCTGTAAAATGAGACTGAGTTTTCCTGTATTAAAATTGTCTGGTTTTATTGGACATCAGTTGTGTTTGTCAGGAAGAAGTAGTGGATAGTTTTGTTGTTCTTCTGTATAGCTTTTAAAATTCTATTGGTCAAAGATGAAGTGGATCAAGGGAAAAGGCAACTCTGTTCCTGTCATTCCACATTTCTTTCTATTCTTTTTGTGTTGTCTAATTATTTTCTAGTAGTCATTAAATCCAAATTCACTGTTCATGCTATTCATGTCATTATTTGTTTATGAGGGTAAAGGATGTGTTGACAGATAGTCATGCTGTTTCCTCCAAAAGCAGGATAGTGGATCCACCAAATCCTATTCAGTAACATAACAAATGCTTTCTTAAAAAGCAGTAAAGCCTTCAATTTCTTCAAGGAGGCAGTTTGAAGGCTTCTTTCATTATGAGACTCCTGAATGTACTGTGTCCTTAGTGTATTTATGTGGGAGTGGCATTCCCTTCTGGTCTTCATCCCACCAGAAGTTTCTTTCCATCCAGCAGCATGGGTGCCCACCACTGGAGTCAGTAACACAGTGGCTTTATGCACCATGGCACCTTTTTTCCTGTCAGGGAAATCCTCCACCTGGTGTGTACTGCAGGCAAAAATGTAATTCCTTTGATGGTTTTTATAGGTTCTTTGTAAGTGACTATTACAGTGCTTTATTGTGTTGGTGTTTTGTTTGTTTTTTTTAAAGGCGTGGGTTTTTTCTTTGTGTAAGCAGGCTTTCTGCAAATAGTAATAATGACCTATAGTTTCATAATTCAAGTACCATTTTGGCAGCAGTGTTGAACTAACTCATCATCAGATTTGATGACTATTAATTAGGAATTAAGTTTTATGTTCTAAAGCTGACAGTTAACTATGTTTTCTCAGTGGGATATAAGTGTGCTTATATAAGACCATGGTAATTTGATGACTGGAGATAGTGGGGTTTATGGATTGTGGGTCTATTCCTTGAGGGAGAAGATTTTTTTTATGTAGGAGTATGACACACAGAGCATGTCTTGCTGAGTAGACTGATAGGACGTATCTTTCTGCTGTCCTAGACAGACAGTTACAGGCAATACTGTTTCACTGCCTCTCTAACCAATTCCTATGAACAATTACATAACAATTAGAAGGGAGAAGGGGCTTGAATGGCCCATATATTTTCTGCTCAATAGAAAGGGTTCAGTTTCAGTGACCTTTGGCTACGCTTCAATTCATGTTGCTTGTGTCTTCTTTGTAATACTGAAAATAGATAGTCTTTTCTATCCATTTTGCAGTAGTATATTCTTTACTATCTGCATATATTTATTTATTTGTAGTGTTTTCAATTGCATTTTAATACATCCACATAATAAACATAACACCTTGTGTGCTTTGATCAGTTTCTTTGACAATGGGAAATAATTTTTCTTTTCAGTGGAGTACAGTAAATGCTGATATAAAAGCTACGACAGGCATTCAAATGAGTGAATATTTAGAAAAAGATGAAAAGCATGTTCGTATTATCTTTGTGTGTTACTTAAAGAATGTTCTAAATGTATGCAGTACCACTGTGCTGGGGGACTGTAGTCTGAAGTAACATGGGAACTAACATATTAATATCAAGGTAAAGGTACATATTCCCCAGATGCATAGTTTTACCTTTTTCAGCTTTTATTATCTTTAGAATAGCGTTCTATTTATTTCATGAATACAGAAGTATTAATTGGCCATGACATGTTCCAAAGACAAAAGAAAGGTCTAATTCACTCTAACAAACTTGTTAGTCACTGTTTATATCAAGAGGATTGTGAATCTACAGAGAGTAACACTGTTTTCTTCTACACTTGCTTTGTTTATAAATCAAAAGTTTTTAAGTGACCTGCAGTGTCTGCTTGTAGTTTGAAATATTACTTTTAAAGCAGACCTCCACAATGTAGCACAGATATTTATCCCTTAAGATTAATTCTTTAAAGAATGAAAGACCAAAAAAGAAATAGTAATATTGTGGTGCTTTTAGAGTTTTGGGATTTTTTTTGTTCTGTAATGCAATATTTCATATTCTAAGATGAAATCCTTCTGAGGTGTTTAATTGCTCGTTTCTTTGAGCAGTGGGCAATTTGGGAATGCTAAGATCTTGATTTCTGATTGACCATATATATTGGTACTTCTAAACTTTTTTTCATGAATAACTAATTTTTAACTTAGGATTTTTAGTATCTAAAGTTATAGCTTTCTCTGACAGTGATGCTTAGATTCATGTTGGCTGTCATTAGTTGTATCAATTTCTAATTGTTATGATTTCACAGTATTTCAGTTGAATGATATGTGTGATTTATCTAGTGAAGTACATGATCTTTAACTTAACAAAAACCAGAGTTTAAAGTTTTCATCCATCCTAATTCAGTTACTGTTTGCTTTGTTCACCAATCACTCTGATCCTCCTAGCAGGGGACAAGACCTAGAGAACAAAACTGATAGTGACTGTGTAGATAAAACGGAAATGAATTCTGCTTTTAAGGCATAGAGGGAATAGTCTGTAAAAGAATAAAAATTGGAATGAAAGTGCGGTGTCTTTAACCTGCAGATCTATTGTACCTTTGAAAAGCTTGTACTCTGAAAAAAACATACTGTGATGCTACAGAGATTCATAATTATGGGACAGAACACTTTGAAGAGAGGTCACTTTAGAAACTGACCAAAAAGCTTGTCAAGAAAATAGACTACTTTATAAATAATTATAGAAGTAAAGAATGCATTTCATTAAAATGTCTGCGGATTGTTTTAGTGAAATACTAGGTGTCATAATGTATTTTATTATAAAGATGTGTCATTTATTTTCTGATAGAGCCTGTGAAGATGATGTAATCAAGGGTAATATTCCAAAAAGGTATATGAGAGAAGTTTCACATGAGATGTTACAGAAGGTAAGACACCAACCCCAACAAACAGATCTAAATTTTAATATAAGAATCATAATATATATGTACATATGTATGTATAAATGTCAGTACTCATGAATTTAAGTCATCCTTTTCTTTCCTAATTTAAAATTGTGGCTTTCCTGAATTTTGCTCAGAAATTAATTCTAGGGAAATAACTGTGAATGTGTCATGTAAAATAAACATGGGTTATGTCAGAGAAAATTAAAAGAGTGTTCAGGGATATATTAAAAACTAACAGATTATCTAAATTGTAAGTACCATACACTTAGCATTTTGTCCCTTAACTTTGGGAACCTTAATTTTTTTGCTACCTATTTAACTTCAGATAATATCAGGTGTCAATCTCCATAGAGTTTCTCTACAGAATAGAATTGATTCATAATAGTGATAAATCCACCATTTGTTGTATTTAAATTTTAGAACAATGTTTCTTGTGCAACTATTTTCTATGTGTGGGTCTGTCACTCTTTTTACAAGATAGTACCATATGCATGTAGTGTTCTCTAGCTTAAAAAATAATGGTAAGCATTTTATCTTTACTGCCTAACATTCTACAGGTTTTGCCTCATACACTAACAAGATGTTCTTAACTAGTTGGTATTTGTATTGATATTTGTAATATACACAAGTAGTTTTGTATGTTAACAGGTGTTCACTTAAGAGGGCTCACTTGTATTTTACCATATGTTTTGTTTGCTTGCAACGAAAAGGCATCCTTCAAACAGTATCATGCCTTTTGTTTGTCATTTTGCAAACCTATTTGTTTAATTACTTATAAATCTTTAAAAGCAAGCTTAAATTGAATAAACGCAAATCTATAACTTTGAATGTCAGTTCGGGTATGTCTATTTATTTTTTATCTGTGAATTAACTTGTAGGAAGTATGGTAATTTACAGCAGATGATGTGATTGCATATACTTGTAACACTTGCCATATGGTCAGGCAATGAAGGCTGTCATCTCGTTATTACTGAATGACAAACATCATGTTAAAATAATAACACGCAGAATAGGAAGTGCTCACATTCATTTATCTTAAGGTAGAGTGAGTAATTGAAATAATATGAATGCTACCATCTGAAATGTCACAGTTTATGCTTGCTTATCATCTATATTTCAGAACTATAATTTTGTTTGCCAGGTACTACATAATTTTTATCTCTATGGATATACAGAGTTATGATGGTACCTTAGGGATAGGTGTAGATGCTATTCATTGTTTATTTCCTTCCAGCTGTCATACATGACTTTAAGTGCTACTGAGTGCAAAAGGTTGCTTTAAAGAATTGAGAAAACAACAGCAGAATCTCAGTTTAGGAAGGTGATTGAAGAAAGATATTTGTCTAACACGTTGTCATTGGGGTAGAAAATGCAAACTGTGATTTGAATTATAACACTTTGTTTCACTAAAGCATTTGGAAAAAAAAAATCCCTTTCTAATTTCACCCAATAACTTTATGAAGCCATAATGCGTTGTCTCTTCATATTAAAAATGTCCTATCACACTCACAAATTCAGTATCCAATTCACAAATGCATGTGAAGTTTGAGCAGCTCATCCTAATTTGCCCTGTACATCAAGAGCTCTCATTTATCTGAATCATATCTGTAATACCCACTTAGAAAAACATTTCATAAATTTAAAAATAATCTAGAAGCATTGGCGAAATGCTGTTGTAAAAACCTAAAAATAAAAACTTGCAGAAATAGTATGATTTCAATATTTTCAGTGTCAAAGATAGTTTTGGCATTTTGTATTGCTACAAAGTGTGGGAACAGGCCAGTGTTTTACAAGGTTGGGAGTTCAAGTTAGCCACACATGTGTTAGTATAACTCCTGGAAAAATTGTCTTCCCTAACAAATGTATGGAGAAACCTAGAGCCCCTGACATTTCCCTTAGTGAAAGTGTGGGGATTAAATTTGTAAAAAAACATTTAAATTTCTCCAAGTATTCGAGTCAGTGGTTACTGAGCACAAAACTTGTTCTGATGCCCTTTTCAGGCTTCTGGGGATACCTCATAGACGAAATAATCATTTTAGTATCTGCTAAAATTAAAATTGCTCCCTTATTTCTGGAAATTGTCCTTTATGTTATATATTCCAGAGCATCACAGAGAATCAGTTTATTGTTAATGTCAATATCAGTAAATCTCAAAGGACTTTTAAAAGCAAAACATAGGTAGAATGCTTCTTCAAAATTTATGTGAGAAACTTGTAAAATTAGTCTCTTAATTGAAACATGATAGATTTTCCCTTTCTGTGAATAGAAAACACATAGTAGCATCCATATTTTTAGGTGCTGAGTTTCTGATATCTCTTGCTAGGATTTTTAAGGGTTTTTTTGAAAGATCAGATTAATATTTTATTTTTGTATTTACAACACTTGAAAGAACTTGTTGCTTCAGATAGCTAGTGCAAAACTGTCCATATTTCAAAGTAATAATCCTTCTGAAAATGTTTTTTTAAATTCAATTAGTATGTATAACCAAATCAGTAATGAGCTCAAGATGCATCAGGAAGATTCATTAGCATGGCACGCTTAAACTTCTATGTCATTTTGCCTGGAATTTTAAGTTCTTTTACCATCTGCCTTTTGCTCAACAGCTGTATTATTGCAGCTAAAATGTTTTCATCTGCACTACGTTAAAAGTATTTTTAAATTAAGGACTACAGATAGCTTTTGTCCTTGTTCTTCATATGATATTATTGTCATATAATAAATATATCTGAAAACATAGTTTGGGGTTTTTCAAGACAGACTGAAATATTGTGAATGCTAAAATTGCTTTACTTAGGTACAACAACCAGAAAGAAGATTCAAAGCTATTGAAGGGGAGTTAAACAGAAAGAAGTAAATAAAGACTTACTGAATGAGAAAATATGTTTGAAAGAATCTTTAAAAGTGGAAAAGGAAGACTCAAGAAAAAGAGCTGGAAACTCTACTTAAGAGGATTTGTGAAGTAAAAAGGGAAAAAACAGAACTTCAGTTAGTGATTGATGAGAAGGAAAAAGAAGCTGCCTCTTTGAAGAGGCAAGTGACAAAAGCTAACAGGTTGAGAAATGAAAGTGAAGATTTGCTGAGTCAAGTGCAGGAGCAGAAGTGTTTGCCAGATAAAGCCAAAGCAGTGGCAATCTCTGGGCAATGTAATTGCAAGATAACAGGCACCAAGGTTAAATTAAAAACAGCCAAGAAAAAGAGCTCTTTGGGACATCATGGAGCTTTTCTCAAACAGTCCATCAAGGTTATGAGTCATGTATTTGAGAACTTCAGTAAGGACGGCTGGGAGGATGTGAGTGAAAGCAGGTACAGCTCTCATTAGCTTAGCCCTGTAGAGGGGACACTGTGCATATGTAAAGCACTAGCAAATGGAGATTGAATTTCAACTACTGTTGATTTGGTATTCAAAAAAAATACTGTCAGATCCTTTGAAATATCTTGGGAGGTCTTGTTCTGAGCTTATTGACTGAAATTTGCATGCGAAATTAGCCACAACTGCATGAGTATTTGAATAGGTGCCAGGAAACCCAAAAGAAGGCAATGCTTGATTTCTTCCAGTGATGCTATTTTCATGCAGTCATGAGGCTTGAAATTGACAGTTTGGCAGGTTGATTTAATTTGCTGGCCTTTTGCATATTCACCACTGACAGCTAAGGATTCCCAGGCAAGCCTAGTAAGTCGGTTTAGTTATCTTGTGACATGCCGACCCGGGAGGAGAAACATTTTTTCCCCTTAATTTAGTTAGATAAATTTTGAATGACCCATTTCGGCTTGCTAGCAGATGTCTACAAGCTGTTTAACATCCTTTAAATTAAGAACCATCCACACTAATTATTTCATGTATGTTTTATGCAGTCATTGTACTAACTTTAATTGAATGATGGTTAAAAATCCATTCTTTAAAGGTGATGGCTACCGTATACAATCCCAGTCTTGAATCAAAAGGCTCTTAGAAAATTCCACTGGCAAGTGCCATATAAACAATGAGAATTTTTGCTTCTCCTTATTATGTCCCTGTATACTTGAGGAGGCAGCAGTTAGCCACTAGGTAAATGGTTATCACACCTTGTCTTTCAGGACTTTGTTTTAAGAGACAAGCAAAGAAATTTCTCAACCCTGTATATATCCAAAATACAGGAAACATGGGAAAAGAGTAAAGAAAATAGAATTGTCTTCACAGGCTTTGTACTGGCTCTGTGTGTCATATGGAGTAAATCAATAGTGGCAAGTGAAGCCTTTGTACTACTTCTCCCCATACAAAATAGGGTGTTCTTGAACATAGAATCTCGAGGTAGAAAACAAATTAAGAACCATGTCATTTGTCAGTTGTTATCATTAATGTAAAGCTTGTTTGTTTTTATGTATAATTAAATATTGCACATCTGATTTTAATAGAAAACATACATGTTTGCACATATGGAAGCATGTATGCATGTTGTAATTAGTGAGTAATTAATTTGATATGTTCTCTTTAAGAAAAAAATTGAGCAAGCGCATTGTCATTACACTTTAAGTTTGAAATTAAAAGTAATTGCATAGCTTCACTTGTGAAACTATGAATAGCCATGAATACTGCTTTTAATAATTGTAAAAATGGTAGGTTAAGGAATTCTTGTCATAGAGCAGTGAACATTTTTGAAAGTGAAGTTTAAAGGTGTCACTCTCAACAAGTTAGAGAAATATCTTGATTTAGTTTCCTCTTCTGCTTATTAATAAATACCATTCTTTATCACTAGTAGCTGGCTCTGAGTTTCTAAATGCAAACCTTCCATTTTCTAAATAGAACATTCCTTAAAGCAGGAGAGGGAAATGTGTATGTAGGTAGAAATATCTCTGTGGCTATACAACAGCCCCTTTAAAACATTGCATTGATTTCTGTTCTCATCAGTCAGTAAGACATACCAATGTGTCAGGACAGGTTTTGAAAAGTATAAACATGTTTATGTGTGAACTCTTCATGTCAATTTGAGGCCTTTTCTCTGGTTAAGTAAACTGCATCTCTAAACCATTAATTTTTATGATGGTGTAACTTAATTTGAACTCAGTTATGCTCTTTTAAGTACCTTGGTTTGAAAAGTAACAAATCAAACTAGCCTTTTGTCAAGGGATTCCTTCACAAATCTGCTCACACAAATGATGATAAATAGCCACTGATGTTATAGAAAAGGATATATCCAAGATTTCATGTTTTAAAGTAGACGTCCCTGAATATGAGAAAGCAAATGATAATGTGGGGTAAGGCAGTGAAAAACTGGAAATTAGGAGCATTTTGAGCGCAATTCTCTGGAAAAATTGTCAGAAGATTTAAAGTTTCAGGTCCAGTTTCTCTGGAATCTCACTGAAAGTATTAAAAGGTTTACAGAATTTAAGAGCATTCCAAAGGGGCGCTAAATAGAGCTTTCACTGAGGTGTGATTTCTGAGTTTGTCTCAGTCAACACTACAAATAAAGTTGAATTGAAACAAAATGTTATTAAGTATTGTGCATTTACTTGTTATATTATAAAATGTGAAAATGAAGGACAGTTTATGAGCCATTCACGAGCTAGAAGTATAATCAAGTATTTTTTCATTTATTTTACTTCTGCGGATTGCCTAAAAGTTGTCTTTTAAGAAGTAGCTGAATCTCAGGCCTCTGTGCATTATGGAGTGAGATTGCATTTGACAGAGCAGAACTTGATAGAATATTGCAGAGATAGATTTTTGCTTTATTGTATTTGTAAAGCATATTGAATAAGTCAACTTACTGTTTGCATTTTATATTAGTTTCTCTTCTTTCTTGCATGAGTTTATCTCTATGTGCTTATGCATTGTCTCTGCAAAATTTAGTATTTAGGTTGATTTTGTTTTTGATTTTGTTTTTTGTTTTCCTGCATGTGTTGCTTTAGTGACTCTGAAATACCAACTTCTGGAAGTTTGGAACCAGTGATTATGAAGACAGTGCAAAACATTGATCCACTGCCAGACAGAAGTACACAAGAAGAAAAAAAGCCTTGCAGTGTGGTTCATTTAGAAGTCCAAAATGAACAATATAATAAAAAGGTGTATAATAGAGCTAGATTTATTCGTCTGAGTGGAGTTTTGGAGTTTAAGTATTAGCATCACTGTCCTCTCTTCATTAATTTGACTCACAATATTAGAAGTGAAAGCCTGTTTCCAGATATTTGGCGGGGGGATTCATTACATTTTAGAATGATTTCTGAACAGTACGTCTGCTGTCATGGGTTGACCCTGGCTAGACGCCAGGCACCGACCAAAGCCTCTGCAGCTGGACAGGGGAGAGAAAATAGAACAAAGGGCTTGTGGGCTGAGGTAGAGAAAGAGAGAGATTACTCACCAAATACTGCCATGGGCAAAACAAAGTTGAATTAGACATATAAATTTAATTTTTTACTAACAAAATCAAAGGAGGATAATGAGAAATAAAGGAAGACCTTAAAATAGCTTCCTCCACCCCTCCCTCCTTTCCAGCTCTCCTTCTTCCCCCCAGCAGCACATGGAGACAGAGAATGGGGGTTATGGTCGGTTCATCCCCTGTTGTTTCTCCTACTGCTCGGGAAGGGAACTCCTTCCCCTGCTCCATGGGGTCCCTGCCATGGGAGACAGTTCTCCATGAAGTGTAAGAGTCCAGTCTCACATGGACAACAGTCCTGCACCAACTGCTGCAAAGTGGGTCACTTTTCCACGGGGTGCAGTCCTTCAAGGACAGGCTGCTCCAGCGTGGACCCCATGGGATCACAAGTCCTGGTGTGGGCTCGTGTCTCCCCAGGTCTGCAGGTCCCTGCCAGGACCCTGCTCCAGCCCAGGCCTCCCATGGGGTTACAGCCTCCTCTCAGGCATCCACCTGCTGGGGTGTGGGTCTCCTCCACGGGCTTCAGGTGGATCCCTGCATCCCTGTGATCCTCCATGGGCTGCAGCTGCTTCACCATGGTCTGCACCACAGGCCACAGGGGCATCTCAGCTGCAGCACCTGCTGGAGCACCTCCTGTCCCTCCTTCTGCACTGACCTTGGTGTCTGCACAGTTGTTCCTCTCACATGTTCCCTCTCTGCTCTTCTCTGGCCACAATTACATCTGCATAATAACTTTTTTCCTTCTTATGTTAGCATAAAGATGCTATTGTTTCTAATTGGCCCAGTCTTGGTTAGTGGTGGGTTTGTCTGAGCTGGCTGATACTGACTTTTCTGAAGATGGAAGAAGCTTCTGGGAAGCCGTGTAGCTCCCCCACTATCAAAAACTGGTGATACAAACCAAATATATTCGTAAAAGTATTTAGACAGAAATATAAAAAGTGATTTAAAAATGTAAAGCTGCTATAAGCTAGTGGTGCTGTCTCACCAGTCCAGACAAAGGATGGCACAGACCTCCCATTAAGCTTTCAGTCAAAAACACCATACAGAACAGCCTGACCTAACCCTTAACAGCGAGAAAGCAACAGCCCTCTCTTCCTCCCTTATGGCCAAATGGTGTGCTGACTAAACAAGCACAAACGGGTCTCAGTTCTTTTGTTGCACAATGGACAATTTGCTCCATCTTAGAAGATACTTTTGACTTTCTCTGTGTCCAGAAGACTCTGTCTTGAGAAAAGTATGCTTTTAGCCTCTTCTTAGCCTATTTATATTCATTGTCAGGGGTTTGAACTGATTGTCTCATTCCTAACATCTATATGATGTTTTCTCACAGAAGAGAGCCAGCTGGTTGTGTCCCAGGTCTTTAGAGGCTCCATACAATCTGTAACGATGACTCATTCTTGGACTTTTTAACAGTGTCTAATAGATTTTCCCTCTTGTGTTAGTCCGAATAAATCACTTCATGGAATTTTAAACGTTAGCAGATATTATTATTTCTTAGTTCAAGAAACAGAATACTGAAACACGGAACAACTTGCTGCTTTTAGATAACTAGTTTGAAAGTCAGTATTTGGAATGGTAATATAACTTTGAAAAAAGAAATTTTTTTTAGTTTCCAAAATTTTAAGACAAATGCAAACTCTGGTCTCATGACATATTCTTGATTGTGTTATTTCATCAATACTTTTAGGTCAAATAAACTGTAAAAAAGGAAAATTCTTATCCATCAATCTATTGATAACAATACATAGTATGAGTAGGGGCACATGATATATATGAAAATCTGACAAAAGTGTGCTTACTGCTGTTAATCTCCTTCTACTCCTGAGTGAGGACATACGAGGCAGGGAATCTGGGAGACTCTGTCCTCTCTTGATTGATAGTATAGCACAGACACTCCAATTTCTGTAGGTCCTGTATTATATTTACTCTCTGTTCCTACTGGAGAAAGTAGATACATTCTGATAGACATTTGTAACAGGCTGGTGGAACTGAAGCAAACTCAGGAAGTGTCTGGAGAGCCCTAAGCAGTTAAATATGCTTCAGCAGAACTCCCCTATTGCAGGAGAAGGATTTGAAAACATGATTTATGAGTGTGGAAGAAAGTATTGCACAAATGTTTAGCATTAACAGCTGGGAACACCAATTTTAACAGAATTCTTGAATCCATCCAGAGGATTTAAGGACCCTACTGCTGGGTCATGGTATTTTCTTACAATGAGAGGCAAAAGAAATCTCCGAAGTCTTTGCTGTGCAAGGGGTTGGAGATGAGACCATGTATGATACAAGGACTTGGTCAGTTTTTCTCCTCATGGTAGGAGTATGTAATACCCTGTGCAGTATCAGCAGAGTTACTGGAACTCCTACAACTCACACATTTATTAGAGCTGTGGCCTAGAGTGGAGATCTCCATCTTTTTGCTGCAGGCATGGATTGTTTGTTCATCATCTGCTGAGAGCTCAGTTCTTGGTATTTCCAATTGTATGGTGATTGCACTAATCTAGAATTCATGGCTAAGTTATCCTGCAGAGTCAGTAGTTGGTTCAGTGCAGTTAGTAGAGAATGTTGCTCTTTACTCTTTTAAATTTACTTAACAGCTATTTTAGATACGAATATTCCCAAAAATATATTGCATGATATGATGTAGAAATTGCAATCTGAAGACTTAAAAAAATCGGGAAATGCTGCAGTATTCCTGATCAAAAGTGTTAAAAATATGTTGAGCATTTAATACCCAGTAAGTCAGTACACAAACCCACTGATATGCTGTTGCAAAATTTGCTTGTTTGAATTTGTATGTGTATTTTCAGATATTTAGCTCATAAATTCTCATATAGTAAATGACTGACAAACACTATCTTTTCACTCAGTTAAAATAAGTTTTTACTAAGTCCCATGTAGGGAGTCTACTGACTGATAGGAGGCTTTTCATTACCTTCTGTTCACGTTTGACCCTTGTAGCTAACATAGCCAGTGAAACAAATGTATTTTGGTTTAGACCTTAAAAAACTCCAGCCTGATAGCAAGACACTGAAGCCTTTATTTTGGATAATCCTGATCAGAAATTCGAGACACATTTAACTTCCAAGTCCTTGTTGATTTTGCATTGTTGGCACTTCAGAAAAAGCACAACATGGAGTGTTTATAGGTTGACTGTTTTATATGTTTTATGTTTTATAGGTCAGCTGTTAATTTACCAGTTTACTTAGAAATATTTTAGAGATTGCAAGAGTGTTTTTAAGATCCAAAACAAAATCATAAATCACGTTACTTAAGATGATTTTATCCATTTAGTAACATGCCATTTTATGGTCAGTGAACAGAGCAAAAGGGAGAAATATCACTATCCAGAAACTGGCCTACTCTGTTACTCCACTGCAGGAAAAAAATAAGTCACTGCACAAGCAGATAGCTGTTCTACTGAGTAAAAAAATTATATTTGGCTGATCAGAGACTTCAAGTTAATAAACTGACCATAGAGGTAAAGTACTTTTCATTATAGTGTCTTGCAATGTTCACCTTAATTCTACTGCAATTCTGTGAAATTTTGATAACATTGATTTTTGTATTTTATTACTGTCAAAATTATGAAATAGATATTACCATGCTTGTGTGGGCCAGTTCTTGTGTACAAATAATATTTGGACTAGTCTGTCAATGCAATTCATTTCTCCTTTTGAAAATAATGTGGTCTTCATGCTAATATTTTACCTGTATTCAAATGAGTGATGTAAGCTTCACTTATAGCTTGTGATCTGCACGCCTTCTTGAGAATCTGGTCAGTCCAGAACTACTACATGTTCCTCTGTGAAGAAAAGACACTCTCTCCTTACTCCCCAAGACAACTGAAGTTTTCTTCCAAAGGGCACTCAGACCAGTTCTGTATCTATTTGATCCCATCTTTCCCTGTTAAGGTGAAAAGCCAAAGAACGGAGTTTATGGAAATAGAGACTAGTAAAATATTTAGTTAACAGCCGAAGGACACAAACTTTCTTCTCTGCTTCAGTCTTCATTCCTACTTAATCCTTTTCCATGTTATTACTCCTTTCTGGTTTTCCCCATTCTCATATATATATGTATTTTGTGTTAATCTATATGCAGCTCCTCAGCTGGAATTCTTTTCTGTTCATACTGTAGTGATTGGCCTGCCCTTTATAGAGCTGAATCAACAAACACTTATGCAGTAATTGTCTCCTGTTGGTCACACACACATCCTGCTTCCAGAATTATAGTGCTACAACAGATGGACTTGCTGGAAGGAGGCAGACATTAAAAAAGAAATCAAATCCCCTCCCCCTCAAACTTCTCTGTGTTTTTGTCTTTGCACAGAAGGCAGAAGCAGTATCCGGAGCAGCACTTTTCACTTTCTTAGGACTAGGGAACTGCTAATTTCTAGAGGAGGAAAGACTTCATTTCTGTTACTCATTTTGCATAGCTATATATGTGTAATGAATTGTTTAGAAAGAGTTTCCAAGGTAATTGTAACTGGTGAAGATCTGCCTATCTTGCTAACAATATCATAATATAAAGTTTCATGGACAGTATAAACTTCACAGGGAATTATATGTATGATTTAGCTAAAATGTTCTGATTTCTCAGACATCTTCATGATTTGCCTTCCTAGAAGGCTACTCCTTAGGTGTCCATAGAAGAGCAATGTGAAAAATAAAATAGAAAATGTTTTTATCAGGAAACTGGTTTTAAAAAAAGCGAAAACGGGAGAACAAAATTTATGTAAAGATAAGAACTGCTGTAATGGAAAACACTGACTAAAATAGAAAAAATTACTTTAAAACCAAACTGGTTTTCTATCACTCGGTTCTTCTGGAAGGTTTTAAAAAAAATGGTCGCTAGTCTATTTAAAGAGTGGTGCATTCTAAGCAAAAATAAATAAAGGGTGTTTCAGGTACTCAAGGAAAAAAAATCTTTATTAGGCATGCACATTTTTTTTCCTTCTCAGCAAACGATTCAAATTCCCTTTCTTCCAACTAATTACTCTTCAGGTGCCATACTAGTGCTACCAAGTGGGAAATTTAGAGCAGAGGCTTGGGCTACTTGCCAAGTGAAAATTAAGGAGGTAAAGAACCTACACAGTCACTGCAGGGTACTCTCATGTTTTAGAGAGAGAACCCTGATTCAGGCAGATCTAATGGTTCTAAAGCACACATTTGTGTGGGGGACTTATATGGGTTTTTTTTTGTAAGAAATGCTATCTAGAAGTGAAGTTTTAAGATACTTCAAGGGAAATAATGTTTTTAAAAGCTTTTTGTTAATACTTTTGTTACTTTAGATTTTAGAATTATCTTGAGAGGTAGAAGGTAAAAAACAAGAAGTCAAACCATGAAAAAATAAAAGATTGACACAATCAATCTCTATTTGAAGAAAATCTTCAATATTTCATGAGTGCCAAAATTTCAAAATTACTAATATCCAGAAATAAGCATCTATGGTTAACTGCCATAACCATAAAGTAAACTTACATTAACAGTGAACTTCTGGTCCTAGGCTAAGGTAAGTTTAGCAGTCTAGCAACTGTAAACATTAACATCATGGCTTGGACAAGGTGCTATTTTGCCTGAATTTATCTAAGAAAATAAATCCTTTAGCAGACAAGGACAGATGTTTGTGCAGTCAGGCCTTCATTATAGTCCCTAGAGACTCCAGAAGATCGACTCTAGATTTAAGATTTAAATGTTCCAGATGTTCATTTTGAGACAGATTTTACAGTTCATGCAACCTAAGGACTGTCTAGCATCTGTTGATTTTCAGAATATATACATGCATGGTTTTGTGTATTTTTCTTGAAAATCCTGACAGACATATATGTAGGTGTATATTTATCTGCTCTTAAGAGATCAGAATTCTGGATTTAAGTTATGGTTTTGTTTGGTCTTATAAATGCTTTGCAGTAGTGTAGATATCTGGCTTTATTTCATTTCTGCAGCAGCAATTCCTTGCATATTTTTAAAAAATGGCTGTGAAGTGACTGCACATGTGAGAATCAATACTTGCATTCTCTAAGGATTCACATTAACACTGAGTCAAGACCATCTGTACAGAAGTACAGTAGTTACTTTTGTTATTGGCATATAGAAATCACAGCTGGAGCAGATACTTAGTGTGGAAGCAATGGTATTTAGTATTCTTAGTTTCTAAGAAAAGCATTTGAAAGAAATTGTTGGAAAAATTCAGAAATTGCTGGAAAAAACCTTTTTTCTAATGCTGAGTCTTCCCCTCTACTCAGTCCTGTCACTGAGAGCTTATAAGAAGAGTGTATTTATTGCATACAACACTGTAATCATAATTACTTTTATGCAGTGTCATTCTTGTGGCAAAAATGCAGACAAAGTATATTGAGTAAGAAATTAAAATCATAAGCAGTTTTAAGTCACTAGTGCTTCTCGTACTCATGTCAGGGCTATTCAAAGGTCCACTGCTCAAATGTACCATCCTTTTGCATCTCCAGTTCTCCAGTGTTTCCCAGGTGATATCATAGGAAAGCCCATTTCTTTATGGAATACTGTGGGCAATGTGTGAGTCTACTTCAGCAGGAAACTTGAATCTTAGAATAAGAAAAGTCAACTGGTCAAATGCTGACACATTCTTTGAAGAGGATAATGTGAGGGTTTAAGTAAAGTTTTTTTCAGATGCCTTCCTGCAAATATATCACTACACTTTTGCTGAATTGGGATGGAGCTTTTAATTCTTTTTAGAAGCATGTTTTAAATCTGACCCAGACTACCCATTTTTTCCTGACAGCATTTTAAATATACCTCCAAACTTTATTTTAGCTATTTGATTTTCACTTTCCTTTGAATTTTAAGGGAACTCTTTCCCCCTGAGCTCACAGTTTGTTTATCTAGTAGATTATCTCAAGCATAGAAAGGTGTGAGCATGAAAAGCAGAAAAGTAAAGTGCTAAAGAAAGCTTTTTATTCTTTAAAGATTGTGGCTTTCTTTACATATTCTCTTGACTGCTTTTTATTGCTCAGTATATCAAAGGACAGAATTTGGTGTTGCATCTGCAAAACGAGCATCAGCTTCGCTTCTCTTCTGGTACCCAAATACAAGTAAATCAGCCAATTTAGTATTTTCCAGTTGCACTGAAACAAAAAAGAAACTGATGATAAATTTAGATGCATTGAAAATTATTGACTGAAGTATTATTTTATGCAGAGATCTCACTTTAACTATGGTTTTCATAAAGGATTTTTCACTCTAAAGACACTTTGTGTATGTTTGTAGTTTCCTTAAAGTAAATTTTAGGAATAAATTTGAAATTATAAACTGAGTGCTGTTTGTAATTATCCTGCAATAGCTAAAACTGCTTTTGAAATTTCCTCACGTTTTGTTTATTCCAGCAAAGGTGTGATTACTTGGACAGATTCTGTGGGCTTTCTAGATAAGTGTTGTCCAGTTAGAAGTGGTTGTAAACCCATCCAGTTATTTCCTGTCAGAACTTTTATAAATGTCTTGGGTTTATGTGTTTGAAATTTCTTACATGGATGTACTCCAGAGCATTTGTGTGTTTTTATTAAGTTCATGAAAGGTATTCTACATTTAGTGTCACCTGTTCTAAGTTGAGTGTTCGATTTTCTTCTTTCTCTGGTAACATGAAAAGATATTTCTCATTATGTTAATACATTAGACAATTTTAATGATACCTACAGAAGATCTGAATGAAAAAAATTATAAAAAGTTTTAGAATTATTGAAATTTGGAAGACTTAAAGTTAAGCATAAATAGTAATTTATACAAATAACCTTTGGATAAGGTTACTGCTACATCAGTAACATACGCAGGAATTCTGACTCTCCTATATATAAGTTGTAAAAGAAAGCAGAGACGCTGATAATGACCACATATTTTAAAAGGTAAAAAAATAATCTGATAAGAATTCAAATTGTTTCAGCTCTATTAAACAATGTCCCTTTCCATTCTTGCAGGGCAAAGTTAAGTCTGCAACGTCTTACTTGTGTCTATCTTAATAATAAAAACCCTGGATACATCATATTTAACACTTTTGACAAACTTGGTGCAAAATCATTTCTGCCCACCTTCAGCACAGATTGTAGTGGAACAGCCAAAGAATTTTGTGAAGTTATTTAGGAAAATTCTGTTCCCAAAAAATGAGGGGAATCATTATTTCTCTCCCCTTGTTTAAAAGCATATAGATAATTATGTCCTAACTACTTTTAATAAGAGTAGTTTAGGTTAATTTATGGGAACTGTAATCTTTGGGCCCAATACTTCAAAAGAAGTAAACAAGGTTTCTCAAAAATATTTAAAATCGGACCAGCAAATTTTCTATTCTACATTTTCTTAAAATGCAATGGAAGTTGAAAGGTAAACCAGATGAGATAAACCTATGATAAACCAGGATATATCAGGATATACTGCTGACCTTTTTAGTGTTTGCAAATGCAGTCTAAGACAGCAGAAGTTTATCTAATAATTGAACTAAACTATGTATGAGACTAAT